TGTCATCTGATGATGACAAAACCTTGTCGAAACGTTGTACATTTGCTGTTATGTTAAACTTATATTAAAGTTTTTCTTCATTACCCATTCAAGCCGTCTCCAACCATTATACATAATGGTTGATTTGTGAATTTTTGTAATTGTAGAGATAAGTTTGATGAACAAATTTTTATACTTGTGTTTCTTTGGTTTTAAACAGGCAAATATTGCTCTAACAGCAGGATTTATTTTATTATCATATATCTTATTTTTATATACAGGGTTATTGAAGACCCAGTTTGAGAAAAAAATAACAACCGAGTAAATATTAAATCTGCTTTTTATCAAGATCAAGGGCTAATAAACTGGGGATTTCAGCTTAAAGAATTTGTTTGTTTACTAACTAGCTAGTTAATTACAAGACATTAAGATTGTTTTTTTTTCTTTATTAGAAGTAACCACAACAAAAAAATGATGTTTATTTATATACATTGATGTTTAAGTGATTTTTGTGGTATGTAAAAAGTTTTTAATAAAATTTATTTGGCCTAAAATGAGAAAATCAAATTTGACTGTAGAAAGAACTGCAACTTCCATTTTTAAATCTAGCATTATTTTTCTGTTTCAGGTCTTTATGATACAAACCATGAAGATAACGTAGAGGGACATTTTATAAAATTGTGCTAGTAAAACACTAGGTAGAAGTTGTGCTAGTAAAACATTAGGCAGAAGTTGTGCTAGTACAACATTAGGTAGAAGTTGTGCTAGTAAAACACTAGGTAGAAGTTGTGCTAGTAAAACATTAGGTAGAAGTTGGGTAGAACAACTTCTACCTAGTGTTTTACTAGCACAACTTGAAACTGGTTTATTCATGAAAGAATCATAAAATGGAACTTATTAGTTATAAAACAGCAATCATAGCCATTAACTACTATAAAATTTTTACTGACTCTTTGGACGGCCCCTGTTTTTTGGAGGGGGGGGGGCAAGCTGTAGCTTGTTTAAATTGTTCATTAATCTGTCCCTACCTGTACATAAGGCATATTAATCACCAAATCAGTACTATTTACTGTGAAACTTTACTTTTAGAATAACATCATTTTTGCAGTTTGGTATCGGTGATATTTGTTTGAAGTATGGAAATTTGCAGTATTTCCAAATGAGAAGTTAAAAAAACGAAAACTAGGAATTTTCAAGGTACCATGCCAATTTTTACAGATTTGTATTTGGCACTAAATATATATACAATCCATTACTGAGTTTATGAAAAAAAGAGAAAAACTCCTTTTCTTTGTGAAACACGTCGATGACAAAAAGTAAATAGTTAGATAGGATTACTTGTTTGTTTTTAGAATTTTCGCGCAAAAATAAAAAAGGACTATTTGCGTATGTCTGTCTTTAATTTTGAACAGACAGACTAGAGGGAAGATGGCTAGTCGTTGGACCCACTGAAAACTCGTGAGCTTCTCTGACTGAATGGTGTGATTTGAAAAGCACTTTTATAGAGAACTTGTGCCCCCCAAATGCAATTTACTATCTTGTCGGCAACGGGACATGAACCATAAACCACCGGTTCTATAGTGAACGAAAATGACGATTCCATAGTTATGGATGACTGAGTAATAGTAATCTTCCCAAGCCACGTCGGTTACAGATTTCTTCAAATATGATTCACATCATCACGATACCGTATTAAAACAATCAAAGTGTGTTTCCCTGCCTTTCATTTTCGTGTGAAACAGTACAGTACGTTGGTCGTGTCAGTAACAAACGTAGGAGCTTTAGAAACGATAAAATTGAGAGAAGACAAGCGGAGGTATGAGATGTGGAGAACATGTGAAAGTGTACAACATTCAAAAGTAAAAAACTAATAAATTCTAACCAATGCAAGATATCTACACAAGTTAAAAATGAAGCCCGTAAATAATGTACCTCATTTAATATAACTCTTTTTACTAGGACTACTTTTAACGAAGTCAACATTGAGTTGAAAAATAATAATCTACATGAACAGCAAGTTGGTCTTATTGCTCATAGAGCATTCATACATTTATAAACAAGGTTTCAGTTTTGTTATCTTGGACACTCAACACAAAATGATTTGTTTTATATGTACTGCAACTGCATTATGATTTTAGCACGTTGAAGTTTTCAGGTTGATATTTTTGGTTCTTGAAGTTGAAGAATGTCGCATCTCCTGAGATAAAATTAAAAGTTCTACAACTAAAGTTAGAAAACATTAAAAATTATCAGTATTTCTGTAAATTTTTTTTTGGGGGGGGGTTGATTTCAATACAAATATATTACTATCGCTTTTTTTTCCAACCAATTATTACATAATATTTTAATGTTTTGAGTACCTAACTTAATAAATACACTCGTTTTAAAATCACTGCACGAATAGTAATTACAGGTGGCTTAGTGGTTAGTATACTTGTACTGTAAAATTTAGAATTTATAGTTCACAGTTCGCTGCTTTAAATTGTGATCTGCACTTTGGGGCCATGAGTGCGCTATAAGTGTAACAGTTACATCCTATTATTCAGTGAAGCAAGAGTAGCTCATAAGTTGGCGGTGGGTGCTGTTGACAATCTGCCTTCTTTAGTCTATCTGTACAAAATTACAAATAACTATGTGTAAGCTTTGGCGCAAATATTCTGAAAGAATGATTAGTTTTTAATTATTAAGGAATGGGAGTTGTAATATTTTAAAATTGATATTTCCAAAAGAGTTCACTATATCTGAAAATCACCCAAAGAAGGAATTGGAACTAAGAAAGCAAAGTCTTTGAGAGAAATAAGAAAGTTGTAACATATGCACTTTGATACTTCATAAAAACAACATAAATCAAATTAGACGGTTCAATATACAATTATTTTAAATATAAGGTAATTCATATTTTTCTTTCTTTTTACTGAAAAAGCATAACTGACTTTAACTAGACATAATCTGATTTTAATCTAACTGGTTTCTTCTGTCTGTTGCGCAACTCAAATTTTGGGAAAACTATGTCTGACGTATAGGAGCAACTGACCTGCAATTTAACATATTGAGTGCATAAGATGTCGAATATCTTTGACGGTAAATACGTAAGCACTATTTGAAAGGAAGTTTTTAAACTAACATAAATACATTCAACGTAATATTGATTCTTAACCAATTGAAAAGCCTAAGAAAATAACACTTGTAGATTTAAAAAAAAGTAAAAATAACGGATCCTTTCGTGCTCATTAAATATAACGAATGCATAATTCCAAGCGATAAAGGTTTAGACAGCCAAAGTATGCATTAAAAGACAAAAACAGCCAAGAGAGTGAAAATAATAAAATAATTTCTAAAGATTTTCTTATTCTGCGAAACATTTATTATTTTTACCAATAAGTAGCATTCATTGACGAATTTAATGTTTCGAAAGCAGAAAAGGCAGAGTCTGAATATTAATTATAAATAAATATTTCATATTTCTACGAATTTTTTGATACGTTGTTAACTACATTAACAACAGATGTAATCTTTGTTGACATGGTTAGTATGTAGTATTCTCAGATAACTGATTACTAGTCGAACGCTCTAACCACCAAACCATGCTAGGCTACTTATGGATAGGTATAGCACTAAGGGTTTGTTTTGAATTTCGGCCAAAAATACACGAGGGCTATCCGTCCTTAATTTAGCAGTGTAAGGGAAGAGAGCTAGTCATCACCACCCACCGCCAACTCTTGGGCTGGCTACTCTTTTACCAACGAATAGTGGGATTGACCGTCACATTATAACGCCCCCACGGCTGAAAGGGCGAGCATGTTTGGTGTGACGGGGATTCGAACCCTCAGATTGCGAGTCGAGCGCCCTATCCACCTGGCCATGACGGGCCTAGCACTAAGGGTGTCTTAACATTGTTTCTATATGATGTATAATATAAAGTTCGATTCACATTCGATGAATAAGATCTAAGTGTTAGGAAAGTGAAAGGTCTCACTAATCGATTTAAGTCGTAACTGAGAAGGTAATACTCAATGATTTTTTATGATGTTAGAAAAGCACGTAGGTTCAAGAAGCATTGATAGAAAGGAATATAAACCCTATAACCATATTATAATTTATAGCAAAAGATTGTTTGAAGTTGTCTGTCAACTGTCATCTTGTCATTGTACAGGTTTTAAGCAACTGTGACCTAATATACTGAATGTTATAATAATGTAAAATTATTATCTTATGTAACAAAGATTTTACAAGACTTACATCTAGAAATAAACAAATTTAAAATAATATTTTTTTAAATAATAAAGTTTATTAATATTATTCACCTTATTTAAGAAAATATAATATATGTTTGGAGTATTATTCTGCGAAAAGCTCTAATTTAATACATTAGATATTTGACTATGTACCACCAGAGGACACGTGTGTGCCTTCGTAAGCAGGAATGATATGGCATCTGTTAATATTACCACGCGAAATTTATTTGAAAACGATATTGAAGACAATTTATCATTTATGGTCAGATGAGTCTTTTGAAAACGTATTCTATTTTGAGCATCTAATAGAGTTGTGATTTTAAAGAAATTATCACTGATACTGATAGACCGTAATAATCATAAAGGAAGGTACAGTTCCAAATTTCAATGATGTTGACAATGTATCAATATCAATGATGTTATCATGCACGCATTCATTGTTTTTCAATCATACAGTTAATAATAGTAATAATTTTAGTCGTAACATAATATTTTGAAGTCTGCTGTGGCACTTGGGACCTGAGACGTTAACGTTGTGTGAAGTGTTTTATGACTTAAAACTATAGTTATAGTAAATTTGACTAATACTAATAATCGTAATTAGGTCTACACTTGCAAGTTGCTGAAGACAAAAGTGGAAAGTTTCTGTTATACTCACAGTTTTAGTGTTACGCAACGAGACTATTTTTAATGTCAGGTAAGTTCACTGATGGCTGTTGGAATATTACCTGAATTATAACTGCCATTTTTGTGGTAGGTGAAAAAAATCCTACATGTTCTCAACTTTGAAGTGTAAGTTAATACCAAGAAAGGAAATTAAAAATTTTGTAAGTCTACATTAAATGCACTAAGTCTTAGGAAATAGGACATAAGAAAGTCAAATATGTTTTACTAAGTAGTATCTTAATATTATTAATACTAATAAGATTATAGGAATTTAAAAAAAACAATAACATGAAGTTTCAATAATTTTTATTTAGGAAGGGGATTAGCAATCAAAGTATTTTGCTTAATTTTTCAGCTTTACTTTTCAATAGTTAATTTGGTTTTTAATTTTGCTGTGGAGTGAATGATTATATGTTTTTATATTTCAAAATATGCTTTACGATGTTTTGTTAATATTACATGACATACAAACAGCAGTAATAAAGATAATTTCCTATCTACATTATATGCATGATCTAGATTGTTCCAATTGTATTACCTTTCACTGACTAATTAAATGTCAGTTACCAAATATTTGTCCAATTTACCATCACCAATTGATCTAAGTCATTATGTAATACCTGAACATCCTTAATATATCTCAAAATTCCAGGTTTAATACCATCAGCAAACCTTTATATGCACCTATGAATAGCATTATTATAAATATGTAAAGCAAAAGCCCCAAGCACTGACCCTAGAGGCACATCACTTGTAACAAAAATACAGTTGACTGGACTACATTAACAGTATCATTTTTTACTTTTTTTCACTATTCTACAACTCCTTTAAACTAAGTTCTCAGAAAGTAATAATTGATGTCAGTGTTTTGTTTTACATTTACTGTTTAAATAAGTTTAAACAATGAGTGAAGCTGAAAATGAAATTACAAGCTTATGAAAATAAGTCTAAATCAATTAACATCAGGTTTTAACAGAACTACATAGTTAGGGACTTTACAAAAAATTGTAAATGTATAAAGTTTCAAAGTTAATAGTGAATATGCATGAAGCAGTAAATGTGTATTCCTTACACTTTGTATTTTGTCTTTCTGTTAATTAGGAAATAAGTTATGGCATTTTTATAGATTAGGGGAATTCTTTATTAACCATGGAAAACAGTAATGACTAGTGTAACAAGAAGAGAAGTTAACAAGAGTGCACAGTTCTTTG